TTAATGAATCTCAAACGAATACATGAGCTCCCAGGCAGGGTTTCCCTGACCCGTGGCAAAGCGGGATCTATGACATCACATACACATACACATCAGACGTCGTTTACTTAGTGAAATGTAAGCAGCTGAACAATAGAGGTTACGCGATTACATCATTAGCTGAGATGCTTCGGCGAAGTCGCACAGCGGCATGTTTTGTGGCACAGCGCTGCACTTGTACCAGCTGCTCGCCATGCTCAAGCGGTGCACATTCGAAAAACTACTGACTCATGCTCGTATATTTGTAGACTTGTATCCATTTCGAAAACCTCTAAACCTCCGCCCATGTCAGAATGTGAAATTATCAAATCATCCTTGAAGTAGTCTGAATGGTTGTTGAGCTGTATGCCATAGCACTGGACCCAGTACAGTGGTTGCAGCTGGAATCCGACCCCTGGTTTTCGTGCTCGGGTGCAGCACCGATTTTAGCGGTCTGTATTAGAGCCTACAACAGATACGAAAAGGGGGATTATGCAGTGTTAAAAAATTGACACATCTGAAAGTTGAGTGTACCGAAATAGAGATTTGAACACCGGAATTCCAACTCCCATAACTCTGTGATAGATGAAGATTTTTGACTGAAGTTTTTTGCTGAGCGATCTGCTAGATTTCAGCAATGTCACGGTGTAAAAGATAGCATCAAAAACTTCTTCTGTTTTTAACGCAAGCTCCTCTTGGGATCTAGAGGCCCACTTGGTAGTGTACAAGCGAGTGTTGTTTCTGCTTAAAAAAATTAACGATAGCGATGAACAGGACAAACTGAATCGACATTTCACAGCGGCTTTATTGCACATGTACGTGGAAGAACGTGCCAATTTCAGCCTTACGGCAGTCACATATTCCCCTTTGTCCATCACATCACGATTCAGTTCATCTTGTTGATTGCTATTCTTAAACTGTTGACGCCTTGTAGCTTTAAATAAACAGCGAGAAGACAACAAGTATACCTAAATGTCGATTCAGCTTGTCTTATTGATTGCGGTTCCTTGTAGCTTTTTTATGTATGTTTAATTATTTTGCAATGTGAGGGCAGCTCCGAACTAGGGTTGGATATCAGTTCCCTCCACTGTACTAGATTCTGGGCTTAACAAGTAACGTTACTACGACGACAGCATGTCGCAAAGTGGAGTACACACTATATGGAAAACAGTGCTACGCCTTGTAGCATGATATTATCATCATAATACTCGTACATATTCAGCTATCAAGCAAGGTTGGCTTTATTTCAATTTTAATTCCCGTAGCTATGCAGAAGACGTTACTTCAGTAACGTCTGGCGCTAGCCAGGGTCCACACAGCTTTAATTTGGTATTTGTTTGTTTGTTTGTGTGTTTGTGTCACGCCTGGAGCTATCCCGTATCTGTCCCGTATCTGTGACTACAAAGGCTCTACAGGATTGTACATAACAGCTGGCCACAATATTTGCTGGCCCCCGTATCTGTCCCGTACCGTACCATCAAACACAACTGGCCACAAACAGCTGGCCACAATATTCGTCGTATTATGTATACGACTCCCTGATGTATAGGGAGATTTGGAAAGAAATAGGGAGACGAGGAGGAAATGAAATTAGAATGGACGTTAGTTGCCAAATAGGTGATAGGATGCGTCAGCAAAAACATACTTTGGAAGAGAGATCCCGTCGTCTCCAAAAGAAGCGTGAACGGGCGATTCAGCGCCGATCACAGGAAACGTCAGAAGAGAGATCCCGTCGACTCCAGAATGCCCGTGATCGGCAGAGTCAGCGCCGGTCCCAGGAAACGTCAGGACAGACATCCCGTCGACTCCAAAATAAGCGTGAACGGCAGAGTCAGCGCCGGTCTCAGGAAATATATCCATCAGTTCTAACAACATGCATGATGAGCTAAGCAACAAAGCATGGCGTAGGGCCCTGAGCTTCCAAGCTCTCTCGTTTTTTAACAATTCCTCATCCCAACACATCATGAGGAAGACGATACAGAGGACATTGAAGGGCCTATTATAGTAGTGGTGAAGGGGTGTGAAGTGCTCAGCCAACGTGTGTATCAGCATCACAGCACACCATACGTATACTGTACCGTTTTTGATGCCAGGTTGCAGCGCTAACGCCGAGACCTCTGGTCGGTCCCGTCGAGTTGCTCCCTGTACGCTGGCAGTCCCTACATCCCCTGTGTTCTTAAATATCCCCTGTGTCCCTACGTCTCCTGTGTCCCTACATCTCCTGTGTCTTGTTTTGTGTTGTCTCCACTCGTCTCTCAGTGCAGTAGGGATGTGTTCTTAGTAAAATAAAAAAAATTAAAAACCTCTCTCCATCTCAGTACTCCTTTTCAGTTTTGTGCTAGATTGTGCACATCTGACTGTTCAACATCTGGTTTAGCTGGTGGACTCGATCGCATAACTTGTGCCCACATTTGTCATACTCTGAAGTATTACAAATAAATATACCACTTGTGTCTTACCGCTGCTTGCTGTGTTAGTGCTGACAAGGTCAAACCTGATGTTGCCCATGGATGTAGTAGTCCCGGTGGTTTTACGGTATACTGATGTGCGTGGGCTAGTCTCGGTGATGCGAGCAATGGTCTGTGCCGGGCTGGTGGCTTGGTTAGCAGAGTTCCAGTCTAAACCGCTGTCAGTACCTGAGAGAGAGAAGGAGAGAGAGAGGGAGAGAGAGAGAGAGAGAGAGAGAGAGAGAGAGAGAGAGAGAGAGAGAGAGAGAGAGAGAGAAAGAGAGAGAGAGAGAGATAGAGAGAGAAAGAGAGAGAGATAGGGAGAGAGAATGAGATAGAGATAAAAAGGAGACGTGGTGTTAAGGAGGATGAGATAGAGGGAGAAAAGAAGAGAGAGATAGCGAGAGGGACAAGACTCCATGGTACGGATCTAGTATTATGTCACGGTATACTAAATTGAGTATCGACCCGCCCTGGAAAAGTAGCCAGCTTGGGCAGGGAGCTCATCATCTTGTCTAAGGCCGCCGATTGGCACTTTCCATGGAAATGGTCATCTGACATACAATACTAACCACCACTCACCAGCATCCCACGGGAAAGCCTGTACGACGAGGGACTGCTTCCAGCTACTGCCGTCGCACAGGTTCTCAGAGTACGCGCCCACAAACCAGTCGGGACTCGGCGCAATCATGGTGGCCACGGATGCCAACGGGTGATAACGATCGACTGTGAACGTGGTTGTTGATGTACCTGAGGCCGATCCGATGCCGCCTGACTGAAAGGTGCTCAAGGTTTGAGCTCCTGTGGACAAGAAAGAAATTATTGCAAGGAGAAGCAGCCAGCAAGCGAAACATGAAAATCAAATCGATCCTCATCAAGCTTTCTGATAAAATCTGCTTCTTATTCTGTTTGCTTACCTTTTTTCTGTTCAACCATGCAAAACGGACTTTTTTGTTCGTGAGTCTTCATAGTTGTGCTACATGACCAGTTTGAGGGTGATGGCAGTTTCCTTTTCCACACAGCAACCAGGCTCGTGCAGGTGGACACGTAAATTATGTATTATTCTCGTATCGAATGGGATTCACGACTGCAGAATTGATTGTGAGCATGTGCGTGTGCGTGTGAGAGTGGGAAAACGAAATAAAAAAGAGAGTCTTGTAATAGAGGTCAAATGTAAGAAGAGCAGTACAGTGAAGTTGTCCAAGGCGACCACTTAAGGGACCTTCAAAATGTGATCTCTGTTACCAGGTGATCTCCTTATGCAGGGTCATTTGACTGCAAATAGCATCCCCTGGTCCTGGTGTCAGTGGTCCTTTAGGGCAGGTGGTCACCTTATCCGAGTGGTTGCCTTGACAGGTTGTACTGTACTAGACTAAATTGCTGAGCAGATGTTACTCCACACGTAAATAGCGATAAATTTTTTTCGGCTGCATCACGTGTACATGACTAGCACGGGTAAGGTACTGTTGTATTCGACATAATTATATATGTATATATATACGACGCAGATTGATATATATATTGAGTATTTCGCTCCTGCTCTTGTAGCAGTTGAGCACTCTTGCGTGGGGTAGTGCCTTTGCTGTTTGCGTTATGCAGAGCTCACTGACTTGTCAGTTTGAGCACTCTGGCAAGGTACGTTCGGGCCTGATTGGAAATTTTTATTTCCATGGCTATCAGGTTCGGCCTCATTTCCTCTGTGCTGCGCTGACGACTCACCACCACGTCCACAAAGGACGAAACAGTTCTGTCCGCAGATTGAGTATTTCGCTCCTGCTCTTGTAGCAGTTGAGCACTCTTGCGTGGGGTAGTGCCTTTGCTGTTTGCTTTATGCAGAGCTCACTGACTTGTCAGTTTGAGCATTCTGGCAAGGTACGTTCGGGCCTGATTGGAAATGTTTATTTCCATTGCTATCAGGTTCGGCCTCATTTCCTCTGTGCTGCGCTGACGAGTCCACAAAGGACGAAACAGTTCTGTCCGCAGATTGAGTATATATATATATATATATAGAACAATAGAAGTATTTCTTGCGTCGGCAAAAAGTGCTCAATGTCCTAAGACAGAGCGGGGTTATACACTCAGACACAAAGGATCTCCAAGTTTCTCACTGTTGCTACTCTGAGTTTCGTGCAAAAGCACTCTTCAGGCAACTTACTCTTCTCTCACATCAGTATCCCTTTACATACCAGAAAAGACGAAAAGAAGCACCCTAGGTGGGAATCACAGGTGGGGAAAAGGAGCACGCTAGCCAGTCTAGGTGGGAATCACAGGTGAAGATAAATGTGGCAAGTGTGGTAGTGTGAGCAATCGCGCAGGCCGGGTGGTGTGCATAAAGTGAAGTGTGGCAGTAGGATGCATGCACATTAGATAGCAGGAGTTCTGTATATGTGTAACAGATAGCAAGCGCAGTCTACAGTTCATGTCACCTCCGACATTTATCTTCACCTGTGATTCCCACCTAGACTGGCTAGCGTGCTCCTTTTCCCCACCTGTGATTCCCACCTAGGGTGCTTCTTTTCGTCTTTTCTGGTATGTAAAGGGATACTGATGTGAGAGAAGAGTAAGTTGCCTGAAGAGTGCTTTTGCACGAAACTCAGAGTAGCAACAGTGAGAAACTTGGAGATCCTTTGTGTCTGAGTGTATATATATATATATATATATATAAATAGAGAGGTAGGCGAACAAAATTTATATACACACAACAACAAGGTTGTCAGTTTCATAATACTAAAAGCTTTTCACCCATTTTCATCAGTAGTTACATGGGAATGAGCAAGAACGAAAACGAAGCCAGAATTTATACTGGGGGTAGAGAATCAGCAAGAATATTCTTACGCGCCTCAAAAGAAGCACATCAAGGTGCTGCGGCTGTTCAAGCTGCAACCGGACTGACAACTTTATCACGTGTTTGTTCTGGTACTGCATTCCCTTCATGTGTTGTTTCCCGCATTTTTCCACTGCTCCATACATTCTTATGGTAGTGTAGTGTGAACTTGAGGCGCGTAAGAATATTCTTGCTGATTCTCTACCCCCAGTATAAATTCTGGCTTCGTTTTCGTTCTTGCTCATTCCCATGTATCTACTGATGAAAATGGGTGAAAAGCTTTTAGTATTATGAAACTGACAACCTTGTTGTTGTGTGTATATATATATATATACCCAATGCTGTAGACAGCAAGCTGTTTCGGCCATAAAGGCCTCATCAGTACAGCTACGAGCTAAATAGGCCGAGCTACCAGCCATGGTGCTATATATATAATATATATATAGCACCATGGCTGGTAGCTCGGCCTATATAGCTGTCCGCAGATTGAGTATATATTATATACTCAATCTGCGGACAGCTATATATATATATATATACACTCAGACACAAAGGATCTCCAAGTTTCTCAGTGTTGCTACTCTGAGTTTCGTGCAAAAGCACTCTTCAGGCAACTTACTCTTCTCTCACATCAGTATCCCTTTACATACCAGAAAAGACGAAAAGAAGCACCCTAGGTGGGAATCACAGGTGGGGAAAAGGAGCACGCTAGCCAGTCTAGGTGGGAATCACAGGTGAAGATAAATGTGGCAAGTGTGGTAGTGTGAGCAATCGCGCAGGCCGGGTGGTGTGCATAAAGTGAAGTGTGGCAGTAGGATGCATGCACATTAGATAGCAGGAGTTCTGTATATGTGTAACAGATAGCAAGCGCAGTCTACAGTTCATGTCACCTCCGATAGGAGGTACTTGGTGCTGTGGCGACATTTTGTGACCAGGCTGCATCTGGTGTTGAGGAGCGATGCCTTGTCACTCTTCATTATGGCGATCTTCTCCGATAGGCATAGGTTGCACCGCTTCGAGGTTCTTTTGTAGGCGCTGGATCTCTGCCTGATTCTCCACGAGATGTTGACGCCTTCACCTGCCTCTTTCAATGCCCATGCATGCTTCGACAATTCTGTGCTGTTTCTGTGTTGGGCATTCCGGAACGATGACGTGTGGTTGTTGAACCGGAGTTTGAACGGGGTTTCGGAGATGCCGATATACTTCTTCCGGCTGAGATTGGAGTCCACTGTAGCTTCGTATACTATCTCGCTGGCGTTGCAGTCCCCGTTGAGTGGGCAGTTTGCTTTGACACGGCAGTTACATCTCTTTTCTTCCGGCTGTCTGACGACTTTCGCGTTGTGGCCCTTGATTATTGAGGCTAAGTTAGGTGAACAGCTGTAGCTGACTTTGAGCGTGTTTTTGTTAAATATTTTTCTTAGAGCAGATCCTTCTGGGAAATGGCGCTTGACAAGTCTCAGGAATGTCGCGCCAACATCAGTCTTCACGGATTGGCTGTACGGTGGGTTAAACCAGATGATGGTCCTCTTTCGATTCTTTTTCCTCCTGGCTTGTCCTTCCGTGTTCGCCGGTTCCTCGTTATAGACGAGTGCGTAGTTGAAGCCACTTTTTGAGAGAGCTGCAGCGTACGTGGGGGCAGCCTCTTCAAAGACTTCTTGATTGGCAGAGACGCTCGTTAGGCGCTTGTTGATGGACTGCGGCAGGTTTTTGATTACTATTGGAGGATGGTTAGACTCACGGTTGAGGTAGAGGGGCGTGTCCCCGGGCTTGCGGTATGGCTTGTAGGTGCCTGTTTCGAGGTTTAGAGTGACGTCTAGGAAGTCGGTTACTTTTCTGTTGACGTCGATTGTTATTTTCAGGCCGAGTGATTGGAACATGCTGATGATGTTCTTCCGTATCTTGTCTGCTCTCCAACCCGGTACTCTCCTTAGGGTAGCTAGGCCATCATCACGGTACAATCCGATTGATGGCTTGTCGATGTAGGTTGCCAGCTTGTTCAGGAGTAATGCGCCTACCAGCTGGCAGACCTCAGCTCCGTCGTAAGACCCCATGGTTACGTCAAATCCGTTAGCGTTGTCCTTTTTTACCCATGTTTTTGATGCGTCAAATAGCAGAGATCTCCTCGCGTGCATAATGATGTCTACGTCGCTCTTGCTGACGTTGGTGTATTGCGCCGCAAATCTCAGTGCTTGGCGGAGGAGGTCTTCTGTAATTGACGGGTAGTAGCTGACGATGTCGAAGCACACAAAGGTTCTCTCTTTTTTGTCGTCCAATCCTCGGAACCAATCTAGAACCGATGCTGTGTTTTTCCATAGCTGGATGTCAGTCGCTTTGGTGACCTCGTTCCGGAATGCCCCACACAGAAACAGCACAGAATTGTCGAAGCATGCATGGGCATTGAAAGAGGCAGGTGAAGGCGTCAACATCTCGTGGAGAATCAGGCAGAGATCCAGCGCCTACAAAAGAACCTCGAAGCGGTGCAACCTATGCCTATCGGAGAAGATCGCCATAATGAAGAGTGACAAGGCATCGCTCCTCAACACCAGATGCAGCCTGGTCACAAAATGTCGCCACAGCACCAAGTACCTCCTATCGGAGGTGACATGAACTGTAGACTGCGCTTGCTATCTGTTACACATATACAGAACTCCTGCTATCTAATGTGCATGCATCCTACTGCCACACTTCACTTTATGCACACCACCCGGCCTGCGCGATTGCTCACACTACCACACTTGCCACATTTATCTTCACCTGTGATTCCCACCTAGACTGGCTAGCGTGCTCCTTTTCCCCACCTGTGATTCCCACCTAGGGTGCTTCTTTTCGTCTTTTCTGGTATGTAAAGGGATACTGATGTGAGAGAAGAGTAAGTTGCCTGAAGAGTGCTTTTGCACGAAACTCAGAGTAGCAACACTGAGAAACTTGGAGATCCTTTGTGTCTGAGTGTATATATATATATATATACAATGGAAGCGGTCCTCACCAAGAAAACACCATCCGTTGCTACTCCGAGTTTCTTGAGTTTTTCAATCGTCAGGCAACTTTTCTAACTAAAACAGGGCTGTCAGGTCCACTAAAGAAATACACGACCACACAGCAAGGCGCACAAAAAGAAAGCGTGAAGTGTGAAGAGCGAAGAGTTACCGCTAGGTGCAGGCAGTGTAAAATATTGATATCAATTGTCCATTACTGTAACAAGCGCTGAATGGAGCATGTAAATCTGGAGTTAACTAGCGCATGTCTGGCGTCAGGGAGTGTAAGGCCATTACGGTGCTATATTTGGCGTTAATCATAACAATAATGGTGCAGTGTGTCTGGTTTCATTGGGCATCAGGTTGCTCTGTCCATGTCCGGTTTGTTGCCTTTGCACCACGGAGAAGGTGCGTATACTCATTGCTGACAAAACCAAAATCCTCAACAAGCGAAGTGAAATCATCGCCAAATGTCGTCATGCAAACAAATACCGGCTCGCTAAGTATAACGGAATCACGTAAAACCGGACATGGACAGAGCAACCTGATGCCCAATGAAACCAGACACACTGCACCATTATTGTTATGATTAACGCCAAATATAGCACCGTAATGGCCTTACACCCCCTGACGCCAGACATGCGCTAGTTAACTCCAGATTTACATGCTCCATTCAGCGCTTGTTACAGTAATGGACAATTGATATCAATATTTTACACTGCCTGCACCTAGCGGTAACTCTTCGCTCTTCACACTTCACGCTTTCTTTTTGTGCGCCTTGCTGTGTGGTCGTGTATTTCTTTAGTGGACCTGACAGCCCTGTTTTAGTTAGAAAAGTTGCCTGACGATTGAAAAACTCAAGAAACTCGGAGTAGCAACGGATGGTGTTTTCTTGGTGAGGACCGCTTCCATTGTGTACTAGCTCCAGTGCACCCCAGCGCTGTTGAGCCCTCTTTGCGGTGGACGGGACCACTTCCCCCTGTATATATATATATATATATATATATTTTTTTTTATTGAATTCGCAAGTACACACGGGCTACAAGCCCAATTACATGGAAGCGTATGTGACAATGGGGTTAATTAAGAAAGCGGGGAGAGGAAGGAGGAGGACGGTAGCAAAGCAGCAGGGAGCACAATTCACGAGCAAAATTCAGAATCTCACAAATATGAGACATTCTTGACCTACTCCCAGCCCCGTGACACCTCCACACTCAGACAAGTGGACGACAAGATAACTACATTGGAAAGACTAAATTTGTGACAAGATGACCAAACACACAACTAGACATGACGAACTCAAGACGAAGACTGCTTTTCGCACCACAGCAACACGTGCGCTTCAATAAACCAGAAACATTGTTCTGGTTGGGAAAAGCGATCCTAGAACACATCCATCAACATAGCAGTAAGTATTGGGTATCGGTACCTGTACATGTACTGGTGTTTCCGGCATACGGTATTCTGTTCTCGAGATTCGTGGTTTCTCGTAAAAAAATGAAAAAAAATACCTGGGCGTATACATGGGCATGGGAGCTATTTTGAAACAAAAGTGTTGACTTCCCCTGTATACAGGGGCTTTTACGGATACCGTGCTCGCGTGATTAGTGCCCCTGTGGCACTATTCTTCCAATGTCCATCACAGATGGGGTGCTATTCAATACTCAGTAGAGGGCACTATTTTTTCAATGCTGGCACATTAACGTCTTCCCGCAGACAAACAAAGAAGGCAAAGGGAAAGAGAGCCTTAAGTTTACTGTAAACTATCACGACTCAATAGAATCCACCAGTGCAATGACTTAGACAAGAACATTTCCAAATGAACATCAAATGTGCGCATGCTCTTGGCTACAAGCCCGCGGGGGGGGGGGGGGGGAGGGCACTAGCCAAGAGAGGGCTTTATTTTTTCACTGGCTCTTATAGACTGGGGCACTATTGAGGATCTAGTCTCGCGAGTACGTTACAGTAGTTTATGCTTGTAGTTATCAGTCATACACGTACCTTGTGCGGTGAACTCGTTCTTCAGAGTTGAGGTACCACCGAGTTCTGCCATGATCTTCATGCCGGGAGAGGAGAGAATGCCGTTTCTCCACATCGTGTAGCACGCACTATGACTTGTTCCGATCGGCGCAGACCAATGCGGAAAGTTTGTTGGAGGTGTCGGGTCAGTCCACGTGGCAGTGAACGTCATGCGGTATGTAGCTGTGCCGCTTGCGGTGCACGTGCAGCCTGTGAAGCGCCGCAACATGCGTACGAACACACGTACGCGAGCGGCACAAACACACAGATACGCACATGCGCACACAAACACACGTACACACAGATACACACATGTGCACATGTGTACACAAACACACACATACATACACACGAGCACATGTACATGCCCATGTGCACACACGCACACACGCACACACACACATACACACACACAAACACACAAACACACACACACACACATTATAACGAAGGGTGCAATACATATTCGAATATAACTAAGTTTACTTGCCTCGGCAGAGCACCAAGAAGATTTTAACTGGGATGGAAGTTTGCATGGGGATCAAAAACGAACGGCCCGTGCAATAATCTTCATCAAGATCGTTTGCAAGGATGAAAGCGGTGTACTAGTGTGCTACTGCAGTACTTGTTGCCCATCAGCTTTTAGCTACATCTTCCAAGAGATCTCTGCTGGTCTCTTCGTTGTGAACAACTGACTTAACATAGACGTACCGATGATAGTCAGCTACTTCAAAAAATATATTATACAATGGACATGTAGCTATATACTAGGCCGACATGACATGGTTGAGATAAGCACTTGACAGATCATAAGAGAGTTCGCGACGACGATGGTGGATGGTCGGGTTTCCTTCGCCGTGATTCGTTCTGCATTCTGCTCGTTTTATTTTTGGTTTCTCATTACGAATCGCTGTAAATTTAAACAATTGAGTTAGAAGGTAAACAGGACCAAGCAACTTCAAGTTACACTATAATATCCACTTATACCACCAGTTACTAAACAATCAGCTAATGCGATAACATTGTTAGTTGTAGAACTTCAGTACCGTCAGTACCGTCAGTCAGTGTCGTGCAATATTATCGCATGAGCTGATTGTTTAGTAACTGGTGGTGTTAGTGGACATTATAGTGTAACTTGTAGTTCCTTGGTCCTTTTTACTTTTTATAAATGTTCCTTGGCTCTCCATCCGAATTGAGTTAGAGTGTCACAAAATTGGAGGCCTTGAATCATTTTCATGAAAATCAAAGAATTTACCAGGTTAGAAGTAGGGAAACTTGACAGCTCATGCCTGCACTGCAGACTAACCGCCAGGGCTTATACTTGGCACGTTTTCTGGTATGTTACAAGCTGATGTTTGGTATATGGATAAAAAAAGAGGAGCAGAATTCGAGGGGTTTCCCGCTTGAAGCCTTGCAGGGTTCTGCCAGTTTCAGCGCTGGCGCTTTCAGCAGTGTGAATGCGGCTGGACGTACACGCCCATTATCGTTTGCAAAGGTGCTTCCCTATCTGATGCACATGTTCTTTTCTCTTTCGTATCGGGGCACATCAGTAACGATGAATTCCGAAGGGCGGAGGAGTTACTTCTGCCCCCCCCCCCTTCCATCCAATATGCCACCGCCCCCACTGTGCAGCATGTGATAGTTCTGTGGTATTCAGTAAAAAAATGTTTTAAAAAAACAGTCATACATGGTCCTGTATTTCCGGTCGGATTACGCCGAACGCAACACTTCAAGGACAAGACAAGACCTGCAACAACTCTGTCAGATCCTGTTTCATATAGCTACAAGGAGGACTACTAATTGTACTGGAAGCCTTTCCTATTACGTCGACATGTAAGTGTAAACATTAGGGTTGCAAGGAATAAACTTTTCTAAGCACTCGCAGACTCCATTGCAGCCACTCACACGTTACGAATGTCACTTGAATATTCGAATATTCCTTGCAACAGGGTACCTCGCTTCAAACTCTTCAACCACGGTCTCTTCGCTGCAAAAGTTCACATTCGATTGATATTCGTTTGCAACTTGATGGGAGGAATATTTTCCCCTTTGGAATATTCGTTCGTCATGACACGTGCACACACTCTTCTCTAGTGTTGATCTATCGTCGCATTAATTTTCTAGAACGGATGGAGTGATATGTACATGTGTTATGTGTGGAGAAAGGGGACTGTGACTCACAAGAGTAGTGGATTTGACTCGCCTAGACATCTGCTTGGTCTAGGACGACCTGGGACTAGCCAAACACTTTTCAAGATTCTTTTGGTATAGCATATTCGATTCGTTTGGAAAAAATCGATTTCGTTCTGATTTAAATTCGTTTCACCCCTAGAAATAATTCGGCATTTTGAGAGAATATTCGTTATTCGTTCGTTATGGGTGAGTTGTCGTTGCAGCCCTAGTAAAAATGTTATACGATGATCGCAAGGCACACAGCGAAAGGGAAAGAGAGGATTTGTTCAGAACAGTTTCTTGTTACATTCATCAGTGAATCTACTAATGATCCTTTTACTTTTGCAACAATCTGCAGCCTCAACAAATTCCTTTCATTTCAAATTGCGGCCTGTCCATTCGCCTTTATGTCATTGCGCCTGGTTCCCGTCTATTGTGCGAATAAAAATAAACCAACCGACCAAAAACAACTACAGTGACCATGCTTGAGCGATTAGTGCTCCCGGAAGTTCATCACAGATGGGGCACTATTCAAGAGAGCAATATTCAAGCGGCTGAGAGGGTACTATGTTTTCAAAAGCTGGTACGTTACGTCATCCACCGTAAAAATAAGAAAAAAGCAGAGTGTAAAGCCTACCATAAAATATCATGACTTAACAGAAACTGCAAGAAGAATTGTGTATTTTCGATTTTGATCCCAGATCCACCAGGGCAATTAACGTTACATGGACAAGAACATTAGCAAAACAACACCACTTGCACATCCGCTTGATTACAAGCCCAGGGAGGGGGGAGGGGGGGGGGGGCTATTCAAGCGAGGGCTTTGTTTCTTCATTGGCTCTCAGAGACAGGGGCACTTTTCAAGAGAGGGCTGTAATCCCGCGAGTACGGTAGTTGACACTGGGTTCCTTTGCTTTGGTTTGTATTATGAGCGTTCATTAACCCGAACTTCAGTGCTTCTCCATGAAATCCAGTCGCGTCACTCAAGTTTGCGCCTTGCATCAATAGACCAATCCCGAAAAGATTGTCTGGGTTCGAAAGGGGGCATGTCAACTGAGAGTGCACTGTACAACACATACATGGCACTACCTGATCAGCATGCGGCACAGGACGTGTTTGATAGTTCGCGTGTGAATGCGAGGGTAAGTACACGATTTTCTCGTTAGTTGCATGCAAGAGAGACGATGCGACAGAAAGCGAAGCCCTTTGTAGTTTTCTCTCTCGCACTGGTAATGGTCTGCTGTTGGAGTTGAAATGCTTAGAGATAATCCTTGTTTCGCTCTTCTGTGTAGTGTGAAGAGGTCAACGAACATGTAGAGCTCACTTTGATGAAGTAGGCAAGGCTGTGAGCGCTGTGGCTCAAAGCGATAGGCCCTAAATCTTACGAAGTATTTCGAGTGCTATTGTTTGTTGCGAGCGCTTCGTCTTCGATGAGTCCTGCCTCTTTCCTGGCAGCTGCCCTCCTATAGGATCAACCACGAAGTGACTGTACTCATCTGCAGCCGACCAATGTTATATTGCACAAGAAGATATCGTTTTGGCCAAGCCAGTGCCCCGCCAAAGACCATCGCCGTGTCACCTGGTCACACCGTCGGAACGAGTTCATGATGAGAAACATCATTCGCGCGAGCGTGATGAAGAACTATTTCGAAAGACAACATAGTCTTTACCCCCAGGACGACAACTATGTGCACGTCCTGCAAGGGGAGAATGTCACCAGCGACATCAACGAAGACGACGGCAGTATTTCGGAAACCTGGAGTCTGCGGAGGTCGTCAAGCTCCTCCGCGACCCGGTACATGTACAGTATAGGTGACATGTCGACACGAGCGTGCGGAAACACAGCATACACTGTAGTAATGTTGCGAGAGTTTGCGGAAGGAGTCCAAGTCGGGAAATCCATCAGCTCCAAAAGCTACCTGTAGGTGGGCGATGAGACTCCAGCTTCAGACTACAACAGTCAGGACTAGTAAATAGTTGAACGTTGTGAAGGAGCAGATCGAGAAGTAACGTTAGTTAGCTGAAATCGTAGCTGTTGCAGTATGTCGGCGCTATGTAGCTTGCATTTTTTACGGAGAGTCGATCGCCACGCGAATGTTTCTCTCCTCACTGAGAGCTATCTGGCCTCCAAACTCCGTCAGGGTCGGCCTAAGGTACCAAAGGTCCTTTGACTAGCTGCTGGCACGACTCCATCAAATCCTTTAGCTTCAGCTCGGCGAGCAAAAGTCTCTCTCTCCTCCGCCATGAGCTGACACACACAAACTGAATACAAAACGATGCACTTCACACGTGCTGGCTTTCACGCGTGCCCCCTTTCACGAACCCAGACAATCTTTTCGGGATTGGTCTATTCGCA